TACAGAAATACAGCGGCTGCAATGCGTGTCACAACATCTTCATCTACTCAGGCAATCTACCGCACTCAAACTATTTGAGTCGGTCACTTGCAATTAAAACCCGCGGCGGACTGCCGTGGATCCCTAAAAGGGCTGTTGGTCTCCACTTGATATTGGTGGGTACCAGGGCTCAGGAATATACCAGAGAATAATAAGAGGGACGAACTTGGGTCTGCCGTCCCCTATATTCAAGCTCACAACAAAAGATTTATCTTTTAAGCCATCAAGTGAAAAATGGACAAGTGTTACCACTTTCAGTAAGACACAACTCATGTGTTCGGAGTGAAACGAGAAAGGTATTCTCATGCTAGGCAGAAGAGACTAGGGTACCAGGCCATGGTATCATCGGAAGGCTTGCAAAAAGGTTGGGGGTTCCGCATAACGATTTCTGAAGAATCTGCAGAAATTAAGAAGAGTTAGAAACCTTGCTGCACCTGATGTGCGAATGTCCCACCCCCTGTAGAAGAAGAAAGTTCATGGGTTCATGGAAAAATGCAAACAGCTCAAATTTTTTTCCTTTAATAATAATAATAATAATAATAGATTGGCGCTTACACATATGTTAGTGTTTGGCCGAGCTTCTCCTCCGATTTGTGGCGATTTTTCATGGCAGAAATACACTCGGAGGTTTGCCATTGCCTGCCGAGGGACGACCGCCGTTAAGAAAAAACCTTGTTTTTCTATATTTTATGCGATGTTTGCTCCTTTAGTTTTGCAAAAATTTAGATTTGTGTAAATATTCTGATCTGTTTTTTTTTTTTTTGAAATTTAACAACAAACAAAATCTTCAGAGCCGACTCATCAGATCATTACTCTAGAATTTCCTGAATTCCCCAGAATTAGAAAAGACACGATATCGAAATTACATAACTTTTTTCACATGATATTTTTGTCTTTTTCTCTTTATTGTAGATATTCAGCTGTGCGTCGTCGGAGCCCTATTGCGCCCGATCAGCCAGAGCCGCAAATATTGGATCATACGACTCAACAGGCAAAATTGTTTCCGCAAATTGCAAATGGTATCTTTTTCCGTTTTGCAGCCGATGTAGTTTGGCATATGTATCAGAGTGTAATGAAGGAATTGGAAGCCGGAAATCGCCGCAACCTGCCCGAGTTGCATGCCTTATCTTGCTGCTTGAAGGCAGTCTGTTCAGCCGAGGCCGAGAGAGGCGTTGAAAGTTTGCGAAAATCTTGCGGTGACCATGGCTATTTAAGCTCATCAAACTTGCCACAAATATATGGTTTCGTCACTGCCGTTTGCACATATGAGGGTGAAAACACAGTGCTACTGCTACAAACTGCGCGTTTTCTCGTCAAACAATACGCGGAAGGACTGAAGCGTAAAGTTTTACCACATAGCGTCACTTATCTGCGTAACGCAGCACGTCCAAAGTGGGACAAGGTTGTCGAGCTAAAAACGCTGGTGCGTCTACTGGAATTAGCGGCTACGGAGCGTATTCGACAAACCTTCGAGTACTTACGAAAGCAGCGGAAAATAGTAAAGTCTGAGCAAGTGGCTGCCAATAAGGCTGGCATACGCTTAACGCAGGCGGCAACGCTACATGGACGCGCCTTTCTAGCGCGCATTGCATTTCAAGAGGTCGAGAAGTTTTGCATGGAATTGAAGCCCTCTTTGGCAGCTGTGCTAAAGCAATTGGTGGAGTTGTTTGTTTTGGAGTTTTGCTTGAGGAGTTTAAGTGATATTTTATTGGCCATTCAACTTAATGCGCGGCAAGTAGATGAAATGCGGACACGTTATGAACGTTTGCTAGCGGACATTCGGCCTAATGCCGTTGTTGTTGTGGATGGTTTTGATTTTAATGATCGCGTTTCGGGCTCCACGCTGGGTTGTTACGATGGACGTGTGTATGAACGTTTGATGGAGGAGGCGCGTAAGAGCACTTTGAACCAGGAGGCGGTCAATAAAACATTTAAAACGCATCTAAAACCGCTGATGCAGGGCAAGCTGTGCAAATTAAATCCTTATAAACTACAGTTGAATGGTTTAGAGACAAGCGTTATTTGAAAATGGATTTAATGGGTGGTGGCCGTATTCAAAATATTATTTTTTATTGTTTTTCACATTTTATCGTCTTAACTACATAAATTGTTATTTAGTACATTTTATTGGTTTCATTGAATTGAAGAAGAAGAACACCCAATGGAACTCAGATGCATCTGAGAAGATGTGTATAAATATTTCACATAGAGATTAAACTTAAGCTTTCTGTTTCCTAAAATGATGATCGGTTTCGGGATAGGCTGCGCGACAATCCATAATGGAGCTTACGTTTAACCTCGTTGCCTGATCGTACTCAGCAAAAGGTCGATAAGCTCGTACTAAAATATATTGCTCTAATGTCATCCACATCATCAAATAGGTATGCAAGAATTCAGAACTTTTGCTCTCAGTCTTGCTAGTATTGGGCAATGGCCGAGAAGGTGTTGGCTGTTTTCCTCGCTATCCTTGTCCGGGTAACTTCTGCAATACGCCCAATCTAGTGCATGGAATCCAATAAGACAATGTCTGATAAGAAGGTCAATCACTGTGGCGAAGTCTTATATCTAACTACTTCGGGTAAACATCACCAACTTTTCTGTCGCGCTTTGATCCATCTGTGCAATGTTTTCAAACCAGCTGATCTATTATTTTTATTGCCCAAATAATAGACATAAGAACGATTATAAGAAATGTAAACATAGCAAAACTGTCAAAGCTAAACTTCAAAATGGGGGGG